GAAGTGATGAAATTAAATAAATTTTCATTCTGTCATCTGTCATATTAGCTGTAGAGACACATAGACTTAAAATACAGATATACTTTATCATGAATATTTTAATCTAGTGTTGTTACAAGAAACAATTATGCATACTTATCAGATTCTGTAAACACCCTAGCTAAATTAGAAATATTAGAAAAACATATTGGTGAATTTTTAAGTTTAGACTCCTAATATATACTCTGAACACTCTTCACATTGTTGTACTAATGCTAATCAAACTTTAGTATCCTGAAAAATGTTAGGCTAAAGATAACTCAGGAAAAAAACACCACAGGAAAAAATTTGTATAGAATTTTGATGATTGTTTTGTGAATGGGTGCCTTCACTTGCTGAGATGATGGAAGTGAATTATAGGGAAGGGAGTGAGTGGAGCTGTGCTGCTGCCAAGATTCCCCGAGTGGCTCTGCATCCCTCCTCGAGTGTTAGTCACATTTACACACAGCAGCTCCTCAGGCAGGACCAAGGGCAACAACATCTACCAGCAGAAAATGCTTATCCCTTCTCCTGTTGCCCCTAAAATACCTGAGGAAGAGCAGGATGGAAAATGCTCTCTTGTCCTAAAAATCACAATTGTTGTAGCCTAGACAAGCTGGACCTGAAAGACAAATCAATTCACTTGGGACAACAAGACACTCATGACTCCCTTGGGAAAGGACTATGGCTTTGGCAGCAGCCTGTATGGAAACGCCAGGGGTAGAAGAAGGGCAGCAGCAAGCAGGGCATCACCTCTTCCCCATCAGCTGCCTCGCTTGGCTTCCTGCATCCTTCCCCTTTGTCTGTCAGTCCCTGTACCACCCTTTCCTTCTTCTCTGGGGCATGGAGAGCAGCTGCCCTGCTGCTCCCAGGGAGGAGGAGGCCCCGCAGAAGGGCCCTGTGGCGCTGCTGGGAGGCTGCAAACCATCCCTGGGGCAGCCATTGCCTCTACGCACACTGCCAGCAGCACACAGGGCAGCCCTGCCCTCCCTCCTGCCTCCTCAGCAGCAGAAAATGAACTGGGTCGGTGGCAGTCGGTGAGTGAAACTCTTAAAAGCCGACAGAAACAGCTCCATGCTGTGGCAGTGTCCCTCATAGACTGGGCACTGCCACAGTGTGTTTAACCACCCTGATGCTCCCTCACAAACCAGGCACTACCACGTTGTGTGGGGCAGCCATGGTGTCCCCTCACAAACTGTCACACACAGTCATGGTGTGTGTTTCAGGCCTCATTTCCCCTCACAAACTGGGCATAGCGTGGTGTTTGTGACCAAACGAGCATGTCTCTGCACACAGCAGTAGTGGCACAGTGTGTGTGTGTGTTTGAGGCCTGGTGTGCCCTCACAGAGCAGCAGGCCAGCCCCGGAGTCCCCTCCTGAGCCAGGCTGTGTGAGAAGGCGCAGGAGCCCTCGCACCCCGGGCAGGGAGTCGTGTGGGCTCAGTGTCTCTCCACAGACAGGGGCTGCATGAGGCCTTTCTCACACCCTCACAAAAAGCAGTGGTTACCATTTGGAGAAAAGGATGTACAGGTACTGAGATTCACTGAAATAGTAAAACATCACAAACTAAGTTGTAATGATAAAGTAAAAAAAAAAAAAAAATACAACGTTCTGTTTCTTTGGGTGCTGTGCCCTCTGCCAATCTATTAGAAATGTAAACCTCACAGATTTTGTCAGCCATTGGGAAGCAGCATTGCTCAGCACAACTTTGTAATCATCCAGACTCTTTGCAGAATCAAACTAAAGGAACACCCAACCCATATGTAAGTCTTCCCAGCAAATTGGGTTTTCTGAATGTTGCCTCTGTGAAGCAGGAGGAAGGGAGAGTTTCAGCTGGAAAAAACTCCAAAACACCAACCCCTAACTTTGTCCTCAATGCCTGTGTGCCATACCTTCTGTAAGAAAACCCAGTGTGTAGGAGTATTGCACACATTTAGCAAATACAAATCAACCTGCTGCTTGCTGCTGCTGGTAGTAGCTGCCAGGGTTCCTCGAGTGAATCTGGGGTTTACATTTTGAGTGTCAGAAAAACAATCGTGTCAAACACATCACGGGGGTTCCTCCCCACTGCAAAGGCGAATATTTTATGTGTATGTTTGGAAAGTTTGCTTTAACTTTAAGCAAAAGGCAATTCCAAGGGAATACTCCATATTTCCAACCCTCACAAAAAGTCCTAATCTTACTGACATAACGACTGCAGCCGTGCTCACTCTGCTCACAGAACAGTGGCCTCAACTTCCAATTTTATGCACCAAGTCCTATAGGCATTTCACATTAAGCTATGTTTGACAGGTGACATGAGTGGTTGGAGGTATAACTCTGTCCTATATTGCACAAACAACAGCAACTTGTACTGTTAATCTGTTTTGCTTTCCTGTTTTACAAAAGGTCCCCAGTATTCTGGAAAGTCCCTAAAGGTAAAAGCTCATATAGTGCTCCTTTGATTTGTTTGCTAATATACTTTTGTAGCTATGTTGCAGCATGACAAAGAAAATTAGGACAGAATAATATATTGACAAAGATTTCTTAAGTTTTAAGAAATTACAAATTGATGAAATGTGCATTACAAGTCAAAAGACTAAAACTTTTTCTGTTTTCTTTTTTCATGTTGAATGTGTTTGGTGGCCTAATACCAAATGTGGTCTTATCCTTACTGGAGTAAACTGGGATTTTAGTCAAAATTACTTCAATAGAGATATGTTGACTCTACTACCTGAGGGTTTGATCCATTATGACATATAACATAACATAACATAACATAACGTATTAATGTATTTGTGCCCTAAAATCTCAGAATCATTGATGAGAAATTCAAGCCTTGACTCAAGATTATACTTTTGCTATTAAAATAACAATTATTTGCATTTTTCAGAAGCAGAATCATATTAAAGCAAGAAAGGAGAAAACAAAAGGTAAATGGTTTCAGCCATATTGGATTTTATATTGTTATGTAAAAGCTTTAGTGGGTTCATTTGGGTAAAACTTTCAAAGCGTTTGGAATGAGATTCAAAACAGTTGCTAAACAGTTACAATGTGTTTCCCTGACTTTTAGGGGAAAAGTCTTGTTCTAGATTTACTAAACTGAATTACAACAAGAACAGGAGGGAGACAGAGAAGGTGTGAATGAATGAATGAATGAATGAATGAATGAATGAATGAATGAATGAATGAATGCCTGTGCCCAATTTTGGTTTTCCTGGATTACTTCTATTACCATATGGTGCTGGTATGTGGGGACACGAGGGATTGCTTGAAGCCTCGTGTGATAACCACATGGTCAGCTGGCCTAACACATACACAGCCATCCTTCTGGTCCAGGTAAAAGGATGTTAGGCTCATTAAAGTCCTTTTTCTGGCATTTGCAAAAGGAGGGCGGCTTATTTGTATTTTGAATCTGAAAGTGAAATAAGGGAATCAAACTTATCCTGGCATAGCAGAAGACATTTCAAACAGGAAAGAGAAAGAAAACAGCAAGAGAAAATGGCTATAACCATAATAAGTGGAGTCAGTTTCCTCCTCAGCAGCAGGAAAGAAAGAGGCAGTAAAGGGAAGCTCCACCACTGAAGCTGATACCTCCAATACCCAGAGCAGGTGCACAGGCATATAGAGGTAGAAGAAAAACAGGCTGACTGTATAGAGACAATTACTCAAATTAAAGCATTTACATATGGGAATGTGGGACCAATCAGCAGCTTGTCTTAATCACTTTCCCAGTTTCCTGGAGGCCCTTGAGCTCTCTCCTCAGGGATTACTGGTCTAAGCCACATAATATATATTACAACTATGTAACTTGCTTCAGTGGAGGGGGAAAACAGGAAAAGACAGGATTGTTTTTAGTCATGTAGTATTAAAGTAATAAACACAGTGGTAATTTTCTAATTGCTATTATACAATTATTAGTTATTCAGTAATTTAGAGGTGATGGGGAAAAAATATCTAGGACACTGAAGGGAAGTGGTTACATTTTGGGGATGAACCCTAAAGTAACGTGAATTTTGAAATGTTGATTTGTACAGAGGATGATTTTACCTTACTGAAGATATTCTTCTTAACTGAAGAACAGATATTCTCCATAAATAATATCATCCTCGAAAGCTGAAGATAATAATAAATGATACTAAATATAAGTTACCAATGAGCATGTTAGGTATATTATTTACATGTAACCTGCAGTCATGAGAGGAATTGCATTTCAGAAGAAAAGTCAATGCTTTTTTTTTTGTTTTGGCATAGCCTTCCATTTTCCATATCTTTCTTTTGTTTAGAAAAAAAATCTTACTGGGTTTGCTTATTCATCTGCTGCACTTAATGATTTTTGGATTTATTAATAGTCTCTGCAAAATGGAGGGTTTTGTTTCCTATATTATTGTCCTGATATATTCAAAGCATCAGCTGTCAGTTATATTTATTTATTCCGTGTAACAAAAATTCTTTCTGAATTCCTAATCTTAGAGACTTTTCTTTTTTACTTTTTCTTCTCTACTTTTTTTTTTTGTCAGAAGACTGTTTTCTTTGTCAAGGGAGACAAATTTGGAGAACAATAAACTCTTTGTGTCATTATAGATGGCACATCTGGTGTACATAATCTTGCTGATTCATTTGCTTATCTTATATGCCTCCTGAAAAGCCCCTCTAAATTTTTTAGGACTTTGTCCTTGCCACATTTGGTATCTTTTATTTTAAGAAATACTTTCAGTGGTTGTGCACAAAGTTTGAGAAATGAGCATTTAAAGACTAAATTTTTGGCATCAAGATAACAATTATTTACTTTGAATATGATCAAATTATATTTGCATTCTTTTTCTAGGCAATAAAAATAAATGAAGAGCAAATGGGGCATGAGAATTCAGAGATATTTAACTATATGCTTTTATATTAAGAATAGTTTGCTAAGTCTTGCTTGCTAATTTCAAAAGAATTACCTATACTGGTAATGTGTTGTTGAAGCTTCTGTCAAAAACTTATTCTCTCCTTTAAAAAATTAAGGAATACTTTGAAAGAAAGAAACTTAAGTCAAAAATGAAGCTCCTGGATGTATCATCTCCTAAAAGTTCAGCAGTCAGTTTGGATCTTCTTAATCTATATGTGGTTAACCAGATATCAACCAAAAAAGACAACACTGGTGAGTTTTGGGTATTCTGACTTCTCAAAATTAGTTATTCTTGACTATTACTGCTGTTATTTTAATTCTTGTTCTTCCGTTTACAACTTAACCCTCAAGTAAGTGTTGTTTTATTCTTAAAATAAAAAACTGTATGTAAGTACAAAAAGTTATGACTGAATAAAAAGTCAGGGCATAAGAGGAATCAATAAACCTTGGCTCCTGCCTACTTCACCTTTAAAGCCTTGTGCAGTGTTCTGGTTCCAAGCCAGGCCAGGGTTAATTTTTGCAGTAGCCAGGACAGGCATGGCCAGGACCCTGAGGTGATTCTACACCTCCTCACATCACGCACAAGGAGCCACAGGGGCACGAGTCCCATCCGGTGGGGGTAGCAGGAAGTGAGTGGCCAGGGAACGTTGTGCTCCCTGTGGTGAGCACCTGCCTGTGAATCATCACTGTTATTAATACAGCATTTCTTATTTCATTGCTGTCTCCAGTAAACTGTTCTTATCTTAACCCATGATCTTTACCTTTTGTGCCTCCAATTCTCCTCTCCATCCTTCTGCAAACAGGGAGAGGGAGAAGGAAGGGAGAGGGAGATGGAAAGGAGGGAGAAGGGAGAAGGAGAGAGCAGCACATGGTTTGAAGTGTTTCAGTGGGACCACTAAATTGGAGGATACCATTTCTAAACCACTACGCACACTTATTACCTTCCCCATTCTGTTAATTAATTTTATGCCACATCATTTCTTTTCCTCTTTGCTGTTGAATTAAATCCATTTCCCATCCACTTCCTCTTTCATAACTTTGGGGGCATTTGGAATAGTCTTGTCCGTTCTAGCCAGATTATCTTTCTTAAAATCCATTATTAAACTTCTTGAGAAACATCACAAAAACTTGAGTTCTAACTCTTTAAACGTAGATGTGGTACTTAAGGATATGATTTAATGGTGGACTTGGCAGTGCTGGTTTAATGGTTTAATTCAATGATCTTAAAGGTCTTCTTTAACCTAAACGAGTCTATGATTCTATGATTCTTGTCATCTGCAACATATTCACAAACCAGGTTATGGAACATCTTTTTGTCCTATGCTCAGAAGAGTAGAAGGTGACTGAGGAAGGTAACAGAGCCTGTACATACACAGTGGCTGTCTAAATAATTTTATACTATTGTGCCATTTAGAACAGAGTTTTTATGTTGTTAGTAACAAAGAAAGAAACAGATACGACTTTAAATGGATTAAGAAATCTAAAACAATAGCTTTTTTACTCTAATGAAAATTCAGGAACCTCAAAACTTTCTCCAAGCCCAGAACTGACATAACATACATTCATTGCAGAGAACATGAGGAAGCCAATCCACATTGATATCACTGAAGATGAAAAGAAACCTATCAGAAGACATAACTTAGAGCTTCCCACGTCACCCCTACGTACACAACATAAGTCAAACTTAGAGGATCTCCAGAGCAGGTACTTGATAAAGTAGGCAATTGTTACATAATAGTGAGATTCTGGGAGAGGTATTTCATTATAGTTTTAATATTTGGGGTATTAAGAACACATAAACATACCATTGCAAACAGGGCAGTTTCACAACCAATCCTGTCAGTCCAGTGATACTCGTACTGTGAGAGAGTAATTAATAAATTCTGAATAAAAAACTGCACATGAAGCAGAGATTTTTTTTTTTAAAAAGATAATGTGTCTTTAAAAAATGTAATGTATGTACCTCATTTCAGGTACATACACTAAGTTCATCTCAAGGAGCAGGTTATTCAAACAGCATTACCCACTTACACTGTTCTCCCATCCATCTTTGGACACCCTGAAGTGACCAACTCACAGACAGGCTGCTCTTAATTGCCTAAGAATCAGGCTGTTTTAAGTTGTGTGGAAAAATATCCCTAACTTATTTTGAAATTAATACTCATGATATTTAGTATTTTGGATCTTGTATTTCTTAGGCTGTTTTTATTCATTTTACAAGGCTGCAAAAGCAAGTTATGGACAGCAGGAGACAGCATCTCTCGGAAAAAGTAAAATACCAGCATAATGTAAGTTTCTTATGATATAAGACTAAAAATGTGCAGTAATTACTGTATTTTTAAGTGATTTTTCAGAGTGGGTCAATACTGAAACACATGAAGTCTTCTTTCTCTTTAAGACTATATTGATAAATTATTTTCCTGCTACTGCCTACGTATTTCTTGAAAAAAAGCTAAAAATGTATTTATATCCATCTCTCTTCAGGATAGCATTTGTGTGCATGCTTCAGATTAAGTAGGTACTTATATGTTTCCCTGAAATAAGCCCTTATTGCCTTAAGTTTTTCATGAAAAATTGAAAATTTTCTCTTCTTTGTGGTTTATGTGCAGAGATGTAGAAGATATGGAATGGCTTGATTACCTTGAATTTTATGCTTAAATCAAAACTGTTTTAGATAAATAAAATATATCTTTGTTATGTTTTGTCTAGCTGTCACAAGTAATGGAATTAGGCTATGTTGATTCTAGTATGGGAAATGAAGACAACATGGCAAGAGTTTTTAGTGCTTGCCCATTGTCCTCTAGTTTTCAGTTCTCTAACCCTACACAGCTTTCAGAAGAACATTTCAACACAAACCTAATGAGCAACATTTGGGAACAGCCCTATGAAAAGAAACTGCAAAACCAGGTTTGGTTAATATTTTACTTCCATGGAATTATTTTAAACTAACTTTCATTTATTTGCTGTGTAAAACTAGTGTAATGGTGATGCTAATTATGACTGATCAACATTTTTTGTAGGCTGGTGGCAGTGAATATTCTGTATATACAAATCTATTTATTCTATTGTTCTGAAATAAGGTCAACTTGAGCTTTTGTTCACTGAACTCTCAGTACTGCTGATATTTGCAGAGAGAGAATTAGTCACATACTGGTGGCTTTCTTTTTTTTCTGGCTTGTAAATTTGGTTAAAGAAAACTGAAATATACTATAGTTTGAAATACAGCTTTCTTAAACATACAGTTGGGGTAACTAGTGTTGCATGATCCCAGGTGATCCCATGACCTAATTTTTAATCTTTTAATGTCTCAGTAACATAGTTCTTACAGTATTCTCAGTGCTCTGCTGTTTAACTCTTTACTTCTAAGAAACAATTGAAAGTTATTTGTTCTGATGCATATTACTATTTTTTATTTTTCTTTTTTTTGTTGTTGTTGTTAAGTTTGTGATTCTTAAAATAATAATCCTTAGAAAAGTGATAGCAAATATAATACGCTTTATTTTTAGCAATTATATTATTCATAGGAAATAATAAAACAAATTCTATGTGTTTCACCAATGGTATTCTGAAGTCTTGAGGTAAGTGAGGAAGAAATGCTCCAGGAATTTCAGAAGGGGAGATGATGGGTTGTTTAAGGAATGAATAGGCCAAAACCCACAAGAAGGTGACCTGAAGAACAAAGAAGCCCAAGAAATATGTTTTCAAAACACAAGGACAATCCACCTCTATGTGTAAGAGAATGATTAGATTCTGGAAGCCAGTTTGGCTGAATCAGGGAACTCCTGGCTGAGGTCAAATGCAAAGAGGAAGTGTGCAAGGTGGGATGGGCAGCCCAGGAAGAAGACAGGAGCATCCCCTCAGCTTGGAGGGGTGGCATTAGGATGATCAGAGCTGCAAATAACAATGGATGAGAAGAACAGCAAGGAGGACTTCTGTAGGTATGTCATCAAAGGAAGGAAACCAAGGAAAATGCTGTCCACTGCTAAATAGAGTTTAGACCTACTGATAAGGGACATGGAAAAGCCTGAAGTACTCAAAAACTGCTGAGCTTCAAGTGTTTTAGACAAGATCTTCTCTCTGGCTCATCTTAAATGCAGTCAGGAGTTGGGGGGAGTTGTATGAAATAGTAGGGAAGGAACAAGTTAGAGAATCCATTGTAACCTGGACATATAGAAATATGTTAGTGGACAGAGTCCAACCAAGTATATTCAGGGTGCTGGATGACACCACTGCAGGGCAGATGTTTATCACCCTTGTAAGGCTGTTCTGATCAGAGAAGCTTCCCAGTGAGAAGAAATACACAAGTGTTATGTCCATCTGCAAAAATGTAAGCATGATCTGGGGAAGCATCATCTCACCTCTGTCCCTGGAAGGATTAAGGAACTAAGTGCCCGGAGGCAATTCCAAGGTACATGAGGAACGAGAAGGTGTCTGCAAACAGCCATCAGATTTTCCAAGGTCAGACTCTGCCTGGTGGTGGCAATTGCCTTCTGTGATAGAATTAGTTCCTCTAGGAATTAGAGAGAGCAGCAGACATTATTTACCTTGACTTTAGGAAGATTTTTGACAAAGTTTCCCATGGGATTCTAGTAGCCAAAATGGGCAGCTATGAACCAGATGAGTGGACAATAGGATGAGAAAAAAACTGTCTGTTACTGCCATGTTCAAAGTAGTTATCTGTTGGTTAAAGTTTGTTTGGCAACAGTTGGGCTGTAAGGAGGTTTACGCTTCTGCTGTAAAGATATAGAAAAATAAAAGGAGTGGGAAAATATGTATATTGTTTGCAAACCCAAGTTGAAAGTTTTAAAGCACTGTAACAATTACATATATTTACAGTTTGACAGCTTCTACTGTTTTCTCAGTCAGGAAACAGCTTTGATCAAGACCCTTGGAATACAAAATCTTCAAGCCAGGTTATTTTCAGGAAGTCTGATACAATGCCTCAGGAGCTGTTCAAGCTACTTGATAGGTAGGCAGTGATTTTACATTAATGAGGAAAATAACAGTCAAGTTTAATTAAGAAAAATACTAAAATAATCTGAACTTTATTGCTACTTATTTTTTTTCACTGACTGTGTTTCAAATAGAAATTGAAATCAAATGAAAATACTAAGCATAGAAAGCTAATTAAATTTGCTGAAAGGCAGCAAAATCTGAATTTTGGGTAGGCACTTGGAACAATCATCTATTTTTTGCAATGTCACAGACATGATAGTGTTGCTGAATTCACCTTGTATGATAGCACAGATTTACTAAGAGGCTATGAGGAGGGGGAAGCTGCCCCAGGTGTTATTAGTTCTGAGCACTGTTGCAAGTGCTTTTCTGATGATCTTGATGCAATGGCAATTGAGCATCTGCACCTACATTATTTATAGTAGGGATTCCAGGAACAAAGCATTTTCTTTCCTTCTCTTTCATATGTGATCCCACTATAGCTTTCTTTTTTCCCTATAATTGATTCAGTAATACTTCTAAGAGAATATACACTTTGTTATTAAAACAATGGATAGAAATCAAGAATATATTTCTTTTTGTATGTGCTGATTAAAAATCTTTCAAATCATAGATGGTTTAGGGCCAGGCTCATTTGTACTGAACATTTTATTTCATTTTCTTTCCAGAGGCTCTCCCTTGGACCTAGAGGTCTTACATAGCTAATCTTACTTTACTCCTTCTATTCCATAAGTCTGCCATTTGGTTGAAAGTTCCTGTCCATCTCTAGCTTAGGCTGGATAAAGACATAAAAAGGCCATACAGTATTTTGCTGCTCCTGAAATGCTTGAGCCTGTTTGCTTGGGGAGTCAAGTGACCCATAAACTCATTGGCCAAATAATGACTAAGCACATCAGCCACCTTAACTTCCATTCTTCTTGTAGCTTCTCCTGGTTTTCTCCAGCAAAACCTAAAATGAGCATAGCATTCACCTGGCTGTTTATCTGAGCGAATTTCCAATTAATATATTTACACTGAGTCCTACATCACCTTATCTCACCTATATCTTTCATTTCTCCACCAGCTATCAGGCCTGTACTCACCTGCTGATGTCACATCCTCTCATCTTCTACCCATTAATGGGTCACTACTCACTAACAACATCTTTCCAACTGCTTTTCAAATCCATTTCTTTGTATTGTCCTCGTTTTATTTTCATCCATTGTAGCCAAGAATTCTTATACCTCAAGAGATCACAATTCTTCTGTGAAGGGAGTTTTCTTCACTGTCTGTGAAAAGTAGAGTGTAAATTTATACAACTGTTTAATGTAACATATTGATGATGTAATCAATATAAATAATTCTGAGGGCCTCAATGTTATTAAATATTAATTAAAAATTTTCATGTAGTATTTCCTCATCTACTCTTAAATTTTACTTTGCATTACAAATTGCAATGCAGTGGAGTTGAGAAAGACCCTCTGAATTGCTTCACAACATGTTTTTATCTTCCTCGTGTAGATCTATCCAAGTATCTTCAGGAATAAACTCTAGTGTGTTTAGCCTTCTAAAATTGTCCTGGTGAGGTTTCTGTAACTAGAGGAAACCAGTTACTCATTTAAGTTCAATAGAATCTTTATCCAGTTCCAAGTATTTGCTGATCAAAACACCACAGGCATTTTCTCCAGTAGGAGTTTCCTGTAGTACATTTCAGTTTTCAAGTTCTATTGATAGCCTTGCTCAGAACATTTTAAAGAAAGAGCTTTTTTTGAATGGCCCTTTTTTGCCAAATCTCTGTCCTTCAGAAGAATCTCAACTTTTTGCTCAGAGTTTCTGAAAGGCCAGTCAGCAGATCCAGCCTGGAAACAAAACAGTGAAAATGTTAGATTAAGAGCCAAGTAAGTGAAAGCATGATAGCTTTCATATCCATGATGTTCACATGATAAAACCTTCAAAACCACTACTCTCAGAAGTGGGGTAGAGAAGTAGGGACATGACAAAATGTCTGACTGGCCTCCTGACACTGGAACAGAAAAATTCTATGCTGACTCAGGATTACTGACTTCAAGTACAAATTAAAGTTACTTGTCTTGGGCTTTCAATATGGAAGAGAAATATACTCTTAAGCAAACTACTTTTATGAATGGAAGAAACTGATATCCTCTTTATTTATTTCCCTCCCTTTTCTTTTTCTCTCCGAAGTGGCTGCCTTTGGTCAGCTGGTGGAGCAGCAGTGACATACTGTGGCTGATTTTATAAATCACAGTTCCCTATCCAGGAGGATGTGCTCCATGGTTTTGTATATTTGGAGACATTGAGAAATAGAACCCCTTTTAAATCAAGCCTACTATAAAGTAGCTATAAAACATAATAAGATACACACTTTTTCAGTTGAAATACTGCATATTTAGGACAAAATCAAGTGTAATGAGCAGTGAAGGTTTTGACATTTTTATCATCAAATTATCATAAAGTGTTGTGTTAACTGTCAGTATTCTGTTTATTTGTGTGCTCAGCAAAATGTTTTTCTTCCTTCCTACCCCTGTTACACCTCATTGCCTACCCCCAGGCTAGACAACATGAATTCTTCCAGGAAAAATCCAGTGATAATAGCCAGTAATGAATCAGAAAACTGTGAAGGAATAAAAGAACAAGTATTTGATATTGTGAAAGAAACTGCAGAACTGAAAGGTCCCCAAGATGGAAGTGGTTGTTCCTTTCTGTCATTATTTGAAGATGAGAGTCAACCAATTCATAATAATCCATCCACAAAGCATTTTAATCCTTTTTCTAACCAAAGCAATACTGACATTTTTGCCACTGTTCCTGATGTTAGAAATCAAATTACAAACAAAAATTATTCTTATGACACTAGAAGGGTTTATCCTGCAATCAATACAAAAGAAAATTCCATAGATAGACACCTTGAAGGCGTTTTCACAGCTCCAGAACAGGTTTTCCTTAAAAGTAACAACGTGTTAAGTACAAGCTACAAGGAAACCAGTGGACTTCATAAAACCCACCTGCAGAACTGTCACGAGGGACAGCAGTACTTCATACCCTGTGGGAAGAAAGAAAAAGGAGCAAACCTTGAAAAAATCGGTGCGTGTCATATTTTAGGGACATATATTCTGGATTTTATTCTTCTGATAACCAGAGATGTATCAGCCCTGACTGAAAACATCATGAATCTTCAGAATGCAGTCACATAATTTTAAATCCAACTATTTAAATTATTTTAAAAACTTGACAGAAACCTTTATATTCAAATTGTGTTTATTCTATTGCATTTCAAAGGTTTAGTTTTTTTTTACTTTTTTTTTTCTTTCTTTTTTTTTAATTTTTAGGGATGTTTGCTTATCACCATGATCGGCAGAATAGCTTAAAGGAGAATGTGCAGAATTATTCAAGAAAAAAATGGTGAGTGTCATGGAAATTACCAGTCTATTAACCAGTGATAACTGCAGAGACCTGGCTGAATTGGAGAAATCCTGCTTAAAAGCACAGGAAGGCAAAATTCTTAACAGCATTACTGAGGACTCAAGTTTTTTCAGTGAAGATAGTACATACAATGCTAGTAAATTTATGCACAGGTAAGCCCATTATGCCTCTGTGTATCTGCCCATAGTAAGTACACAGAAATACTTCTTTAGTATTTCAGTATTCAGGGACAGTTTGTATTCCTGAAATTAAGCTGTTGGTCTGGCTTGTCCTCTAAAATATTCTGTCTCATTCCACTGGCTACAAAGCAAGTAAATGCCTTCCCTGGGCTATGTGAGTGCTCTGTGTTTTACTAAAGACTTGTTTTTCAAAGACTGATACATAGCACCTTCCATTTTAAAAAACAGCACTATCTTCTGTCATTGTTTCAATTCCATTTTGCATTTCAAAAGACATGAAGTTTATTAAAAATATATTCTTGGTGTTAAATCTCAGGTTCAGAGATAAGTCCAGTGATCTCAGTAATGGGAAGCATTTAATGGTTACTGAAGACAAAATAAAAATTGAAAAGTCACCAGTAAGGGCTTTAACTCAGAAAGAAAATAAAAATACTAGGGGAAAATCACTTACCAGAGAACTCTGTGTTTGCATTTCTCAGTGATGACAAATATGTGAAAGAAACAGCCTGGAATCAGAACCATCTCTTTGTATTTGAAGAGGTAACTTTTAAAAATATGTATTTTTTTGTCAAACCCCCTGTTTGCATGAGTCATTTGAGCTGGAGAAGGATTGTCCACAACAGTTAGAAACTGAATATAGTTTCAATGAATTAACTACCATGGAAGCTTCTTTTCCATCATGGTTTATAGAATGAATTCAGAAAGAACTGCTGCTAGTGACATGGTTCAGATAGACAGCCCTTTGAGGTTCACAGTTCACATGGTATCATTCACATCTTAGCCTGAAAGACATTAAGTAAGTCATCCATCAGCACTTAGGATCAGGTTCTGCAGGCAATTCCCAGACATTATATGCAGGATACTACAAGGAGCTTTATAAAGGAGCTTTGTGCCAGTGTACATATAAAAAGTGTTTCAGATGTCTTACCTGCAGAAGCCACATATGGTACTACTAAGGGGTAAAAATACCTCTTAATTTGTGGTGTAGTGCAGTGACTCCTTTATCTAATATAGAAACTGAATGTGCCTCTCTTAACCTGAGATTCTGATCCAGCTGAACCCTCACTATTAATACCTTATTATTTTTAACAGTTCACAACAGCACATGAGAAAGGGTATAAGTTTGGAGTGAGTTCGTATCTTCATGAGATGGAGATGGGTAAGTACTATTTATACATTATCACTTAAAATTTTTTTCTCTACATGTGAAACTGAAAGAGTTACTTTTAAAGCAGGGAGAATGATCTTTTTAGGATGTTAACTTTGATGAGGGCTTGTATTTCTGATTCACACAGTACTGTAAAGAGAGGCAACTAGCATTACCAGGTAACTAAGAATTAGCTGTGTTTGGTTTTCCTTGAAGAGATATTCTCTTCCACTATATGCTGTCACTCCACATGTGGACAGAAGGATGGGAGTAAGCTAGGCAATCCTACATCCTTCCTACTCCCTCAGTAGCTGCAGGGTCAGCTGTATTGGCTGCATTTCAGAGCAGATCTCTCAGGGGCCTCCAAGAGATAAATATGTAACTTGTATGGCAGCCAGTGTGCACATGGAGTCTGCTGTGTTCTCTCACAGGCTGTGCTCTCCAGAGTCCCTTCTCCTTTTGGGTGGCACAGTTCTGCTGCTGATTAACAGCACAGCTGAGGCTTTGGGGGACCCATATCACAAATTCTGTTGTGTTGACCCGGGAAGAGAAGAACTGGCTATTGCTAAGAAGTAGATTGACCTTGCTAACATTTTTTTCTTTAAATAGTATCTTAAAACTGCATCAGAAATAATAATGTTTAATTCTACATGCCGTACTTGAGAGTTGGATCTTTGGGGAGTGTTTGGTGAGTAACCTTTCTTTCTTTTTCATCTAATTTTTCAAGATGTGGAGTCACCACTCAGCAGTCATTTTCACAGTTACTCTCCAAGGCAGACTGAGAGCTATTTGAGCTCTAGTCCTGACACAGTGAGTAAACCTTTGTGGGCTGGCAGAGCTTTATTTGAATCATATCTCTATGCCTGAGTGCACCTAAGGATGGATGTAGCTGGAATCTCGTTTTGTTTTGTACGAGATAAATACATACTTCATGTATGATGAGGACAAGAAATTATTAGCTGTAAATTTTCTTAAGTAGTTTTACAGACATGTGGTCTGTTCTCTTGATATTGACTAGACTTGTGGAATTACAGTAGCATGACTGTGGGAAGATGCTAAGCAATATTCTATACTCTTCCTGTACGTATAGCTGCCTTACATTACATGTCTGTAAAGCAGAATGATTTGACACACTGTGTTTTCAGTCATTCTTGAACACAAAAATGGCATGGTGTGAGTATAAATTGCATGTGAGAGTGAAGGTCTGCCTTGGCCACCTTCTCTTCACCAAAAGCCAGAAGTACATCCTTGGAGAAGGAACAAAAAACCTTCAAGCAACCAAAAGCAGACAGTTCTGGCCTTTCTGTTTATTTCACTTAGTTATTAGTAAGTCATTACTTTAGTACTTAGTTATTGAACTATTTGAACAGTTACAATTGCACAATTCTGTTTAAACAGTCTGAAGCAGAAGACACAGCCAAAAGGAAGGAATATCTGAATGAACAGTCCTTAAAGGCACATGATGCCAACCTATTCTCAGCCTCAGCAAGCAGAGAGACCCCCAAGAGCTCTCAGACTCAAAGTGTGGCCATGAAGCCCAGCAGTTTTTTGGCTAGAGAAGAAGCAAACAATTTTCAGGAGAAAGACTCTAATGTTTGTGCCACAGACGAGGAAAATAAAGCCCGCAGAGCCCTGTCTCAGGGCCCATCACACAGGGCCCTTAAGAGGGAGCATGTCACTCGCAGCACCAGGTGCGATGTTTGGTCGCAGACCGAGGGCTCTGTGACAGAAGTAAAGAAGGTGGATGTGGGCACTCAGTGTGGCACCTTGAGGGTGTGCAGCTGTGGGGGATCCCTCCCCCCTGCCCGCAGCCCAGTGGAGCTGGGCAGCTGCCCAGCCACCCAGCCCGCAGCTGCTCCTCCCAGCACTGCCGGCACCGCCGGAGAGCACGAACGGCCAGGGCAGGAGGTGCCGCAGCCCGCGGGCACCGCCAGCGCGGCCGGGACAGACGCCTTTTTTTCTGAGGCCGAGTACTTGTGTTTGGCTGGCAGGAGGACTCTAGAGGTGCTGAGCTATATCGATAAAATGAAGGAGAGAGATAAGCTGTGATCAACTATAATGGCATGTAAGGAACACCATAGTTTTGTCCTGTTCTTAGTGCATTTCATTCAGTTGGCATATTCTGACTTTTCTAGCACAGTTAGGCAAAAGATATTTTTACTGTTTGTTTGCTTTGAATATCAATAATTATGGATTTCTGTCTACCTACTGCTATCTCAAAATATGGGTTTCTATAGATATCCAACTATTAACAAAGGATTTTACAATAGCCTAGTAAATATAAACGTTAGGAATTATATTGGTTTCCTCACCATACATCCATAGGATTCTGTAGTTTGGAATTCACTGACTATGTTTCTTTTAAGGTAATGGGAAGCTGTTGTTCTACTTCAAAACATATTTAGTGTGGCTCTGAGTTCAGAGCCACTGTCTGATTCTTATCCATTTTAATAGAAAAACTTGCTTTTGTTCATACTAAACAAAAAAAATGGGAAACAACAAAAAGTGTACATCTACACACATAGAATAGAATGTAATTTAAAAAGAGCTAATTTATTAGGGTTTTTTTTAAATGCTCAGTTTTCCCTCCACAGCAGATCCATTCATTAATTTTCTGGCTGTTAATCTAAAAAATCTTTCATGTGTTTCTGTATTCTGTCTGCAAGTTGAAAGACTGAACTATTTGCCTCTTTATTTCAGTATTTGTATGAAGCTACAAATCACAACAAATAAAAGTTTCTGATAATATTGTTTCTAGGTTATATTCTTGCCTTCTAAATAGTTCCTGGTAAAGGTGTCAGAGAGACTCAGTGTTACTAACATCTACTTACAGATTCATACACCTTCACTTCTATATAGATATTTATCTTAACTATGTTTGTGTACGTGTATGTATATATAAAAAGCTGTGTGTGTGTATATATACACATAGCAAAGTACATATATAAATGCCTGTGCTGGCATTAGCCAGCTGGCTGCATGCAGGATTCCTCTTCCTCACAAACTGGGCTTGGGCAAAAGCTGTGCTGGCGACTTCCTTGAACAGAACAGGAGATTTGCCTCTAGAAGGTTAATATGTTGTGCTTTCCCCTTGGAGTCTACTGTTAAAAGATTCACTGCCCTTATTCCCACCAGGTCAGGGTTTTTTCTACATTTTGTAGAAGGGATGAATGTCACCCAGCCTGGATGAGACTCATTCCTGTTCTTTGTCTCTGTTCTCATCATCAAACTAGTGGCTGTTTTTGCTGCTGCATTTAATTTTTGAAGTGAAGAGACATTTTTAAAAGAAGGTCTACATTGCTCAACAGTTTGCAGGTTTATGGCTGTGCTATTTTTAAAAAATAGCAGCTCAGAAATTTCAGTGGGCTTTTCTGTACTTGGAAGAAAATAGCATTGTCTTTTATATGTATAAATTGCATACATACGAAGTGGTTTGCACAGCCAGACTTCTGAACCGTGTGACTATCACTTAGCCAATTCACTGCCCACTTCCTAAGGCTTGACATAAGCAGAGTTTCTTTTTTAGGTTGCCTCAATTTTTTGTCAAAGCAAACTTTCTCGTAATTTGTTTAAGCTGCAATATTCATCTTCTTCACAGGAGATATAATTTATTTGAATAATAGCTATGATTTTCTGAAAGCTCAGCTGTTACCATCAGTTTTCGAAGCATAGTTTTTCAGTCAGTATGACAAAGCCAATTGTGCCATTGTGGTCCATGCTGGCTTGAATGTTGCTTTCCCAACAGTCCCTCACACCTGGTGTGTACCTGCCAGTCCTTGCAGTTGTGTGTGTCCAGCTCCCCAGCCTCTCCCACAGCTGACGTGTCCCCAGGGCACTTGGCCTGCTAGCCTGCAATACACTGTGGCAGAGGCCAGGGAATGGCACATTATAGCTAAAAACTCCAGCACTTTATGCTTTAGTTTGAAGAGGTTTTATTACCCCAGCAGATGTAAAATTGCCTCATGGCCAAAGAGTTATTTGGTGTCTGGGTTAGAGAGGTTGGGCTGGTTGGGCTGGTGACCCAAATAGAGATGAACTGCCATTAACTTACAGTGGAAGTTCTGCTCCTGATTTCTCTGCTGTTGGCATTGTTGCTGGGACTTTTAAACCATGGTTAGTTTTACACTGAAGCGAGCTACCCACGTTCAGGCAGATACTCCAGATCTGCAGAGCTGGGCTCTGAACAGACATATTCCCAGTCTGTGCCTATGAACCTATGGGACAAAGAACACAGCTTGGAACACAGATGGGAAGAGGGGGACAGTTGCACAATATGAATATATGTGTGGGGGGTTTCAAATGCTCCTTATTAAGTTATTGCTCATATTTATAATTGTTTAAAGCCTCTCAGTGGGTATCACTTATTTTCACTTCAGCCACTGATACAGAAGCTCTCACAATCTGTCCAGTTTCAGCCAGGTTTCAGCCTGGGCTGCGCTGAAATTCCACTGCTCAGTGCCAGAAACTCACCCTCTGACTGGCTGTATGTAAGAGCTGCATACATGTCTCTAATGCAATAATTCACCACTTGGGATATCAATCACTGTAGATAATCATGTTTAAAAGCCTTAGGATGAGATTATATAAATTCAAATTACATTCTTATTTTTACCTGCAATTGCAAAGCAATCAGAAGAAAAAAACTATCTTTGTAGTGGTTTATGTGCTGGCAATGATGACAAATAAGGCTGCACGCTCTTTTTAGACACTGGAGAAGTATTTTAAAGTATTTACATTACTATTATTGCATTAAAAGAGACTCATGCTTTCTCCTTAGCTCAGGTGCTTTCTTTACCCTGATTTTTTTTGTGACTTCAGGGAAGAGCTGAGTTTGGTTTAATAGGAAGTAGTAACTTCAAACTGTGCTTTCTTCAGCTGATAATTCAGCAGCTGATGCTATTAATCCATCAGTATTTGTAGCCTACAGTTATGATTGTCATCTCACTAAATGCATTCAGGCACCACCAGCTTTCTCTGAGGCAACAGCTTAGGCAGAGACACTCCTTTTTCATCCATGTCATTCTTCCTGGCAACATGCTGAGCCTCCAGGTAGGCCATGGAAATACACGTTTTTAATTTGGTTTGGTAAGCATCAATTATAAGTAGAGTTTTTTGGGGGAAAAGGACAGAAGAGTAGAAGAGTACCTGTAATTAACCAAAAAACCAGGAGCATTTGTTTATCAGTGGCAGTCAAATGCTTCTAAACACAGATTGAAAGATTCTCACTGAAAATAATACCATAAACTTCAGTTCAGAATCAATTTAAATATGCAGCTTGTAACTTTATTTCCCTCTAAAATCAGCTCAAATTACAGTAACCTGCAAGGTAAGGTTTTCTGGGCAAGCACCAAAAGGAGTTTGGTCATTAATGGGCAGTTTGTTGCTGGATGTTCTGCCAAGAACCTTCACAAAATTCATAGAAATTCTTATTTCATTTTAATGAAGGATTATCATTATAGGAAATGAGAGTCTTAAGTCCTCATACAAGTAATTATTTATCTGGTACAAACTGTGAGTTGGCTTTTTAAGGGTTTTAGCAGTAGCAGATTGAGAGAGGATGAGGTTTCCTGGAAAAAATATTTAACTCTCTGCATCCAGTGCCTAATCTGTCCTCACGAAAGACAATGACCTTTCTGCAACGCTTCTTCAGCCTCTTCTCCCTGACAGCCTCTGACGGGTTAGAGGTGACAATCCCAGTCACCCAAATCAGAGCTTTCTTCTCCAGGGCTGGTGATGTGGAGCTCCAGCCATGTCTCCTGACTCTGAGCTGAATGCTGAACGTTTGCCCCCTCTCCAACCATACTGCAGTGACCCCACACCCTGATGGTGCTTGCCCTGGGTGCCACAGCCCTCTGGATGTGCAAGCCAGCAGGATGAGCTCAAGGTGAGCCCTCACACAGCACGTGGCTGCAGAGGGTGCTGATACACCAGCTCTGTGTGAGGTGATGGGGGATCCTGGGCCCAAGCACAGAGGGGTGGAGAGTGAGTGAGTCAAGATAAGGCAGGAGGGTGAAAGAGACCTGTTGAATTATTTAATAGAGCTGAGAGAAAACATGTCCAAATCAACCATTTGTGCCTGTTTGCAGAGAGAGTGCTGTGATTTATTGCCGGTGTGTCACGCTCAGCACATGGGTGCTGGCCTGGCCCAAGGACCCAGCACTGTGACTGATTATAGGACAAACCAATATGTGTTATTGCAGAAGATTTATTTAATTTCCTTGGCTGGAGTCATTATTGGGAAACAGGAGGACTGTAAGGAGTTTTGCTCTTCAGAGAAGCTACACTCCATGCAAACAAATGAATTTTTGGAGAACCCCAAACCAGCTGAAGCTGGCAGGGATCTTGCTCAGTGCAAGCCCCGCTCATAGCAGGGCCAGCTGGAGCAGGGTACTTCGGGCATGGCCAGCTGCTATCACCAGACACCCGGCCTGGGGATGAGGGAATAAGCCCTGACAGGTAGGGGACCACAGGGAAGCTGTGCCTGCTCACAGCAGCTGCTGCAGATGGAGGCAGCCACTGCCTGAGCTTCTTCCCTGTGCTGAGAGCAAGGAAGGGGCCTGGGGCTGGAGGAAGGGGAGCTGTAGGTGTATGGGGAGGGAGGCTGGATGCTGCTGCTGCCCTGCACTGCTCCACCTCCTCAGAGCACAACTCCTGCCTCTCTTGCCTCTCCTCACTCACATTTCTGTGCAGTAATGAAGAACAGCAGTGTTTCACCCCAACACCACCTCATCCCTGAGTGCACAGCCCCAGAGCCTCCTCCAGCAGCCCTGCAGTCTTGGACTGCCCTAACTACAGGCACCCATTACTCTCCCACCAGAGACTGTGGGGGTCCCAATGCCCCCAGTGCACCCCTGTGAATTCCACCAGACACAAGGAAACTTGACATAGAGAGAATACAAAAGCTACCTCACCTGGTACCAGGCTGGGGGTGGCAGTTAACCTTCACTCAGCTTACAAAAACTTTGGTTGCTCTTGACTTTTTTTCCATCATTTTTAGCAGTGGGGACACCAGGCGCAGCTTAGTTCCAAAAAGCTGCGTGCAAAGCCTATTCCTCAGCCCCCTCAACCAACCTGCATGTTATGAGTACCTCAAACAGCAGGG